CTGCTGCACCTTCAGCATGCGTGTCGATTTACCTACCAATACCATCTCGTCGATGTCAGCCTTGTCCAGCTTCTCATCACCCAACGCCTTCTTTACAGGATCCACCGTTCTGCTGAAGAGATCAGTGCACAACCGCTCAAAACCGGTCATTGTGAGGGCAGCACTACAATCAGTGGCCTCAAATAACGAATCTGTGCATACCTTAGGCAGCACAGTCCAGTTCAGCATCCTCTTTGCTGCTTCACATGGCATCCACACTGACGCAAAGACATGAGGACGGCCTTGAAGGGTTTGTAACTTTCAAATGGCCGAATGTATCTTTTTGTTTGAACTGCGTTGGGATCCTCATGGCCTGGTGGATATTTGTGGCTCGTACACCTTCGTCTATCGTCAAACGTTCACTTCCATTGTTGCCTGTTATTCTGATCTACGGTGTTCAAATTGCACTGGTCTGGGACGCATTCACTATTCACCACTGTGGTTACCGTCATTGCTCAACTAGATGTGAACCCTCATACTAGGAGTTAATGCAGCTGATACCAAGTGAGATTTCTGTGCCATCCAGATAGAAAGGCCCCTGTTTTTAGGATGACAGTTGTGAGAGATAATCTGCTGCAAGCCAGTTGGTCACCGACTTTGCAAGTGACAAGGATGGACTTGTCCAATCACTGGTTAGAGGAGCCGGCACCAGTTAATCACTGGCTTACACTAAACCATCTTAACTGTTTAACAAAATACACCTTTGAATCCTTCAAGCATGAGATTGGGATGCATGGCTAAAATGAACATCTGTGTTTGAGAATCCATCCGCTGTGCCCCTCCACAGTAAAGATTTTAGCCATTCGTATCCAGCACTCTCCATATTTGGCATACAAATATCGTAATGACCCCAATTTTGTCTGCAGCAGCAATTCCATACTATTGAAAAGAAACACGAAAGACAAGCAATGACAATTGCATTCAGAATTTTGCTACAGTTCATTACGAATTGACGCGAAACTTCTTCATCCATCCATCTCCTCTTAACAACTACCTCCTTTCTCGACACACTATCCACTTTTTCCCTACACCCTCTCATCCACCACTACTAGTTCTACCTTCGATTGGGTAGAGTAGACGCACTACCTTCCTCGAAGAACGTGGATGCTTTGCTCATTCCCTTTGAAAGTGGAATTCGCACCTGCATTTCACGGCTGTGCAAGCCATGATGCGTGAACAAGACAGAATTGCAAAAGTCAGTTCGCCTACTGTTTCAGTCTGAGCCGCAAGTGGTTACATGACCGCAGGTTGTATGCAACCAGTCCATGAAGGGGACTGCAAAACGACTGAACTAAAAGCGCAGTAACAGAGACTGCAAGCGTGGTGAAACTTCTACTGGGAGATTTGTCTTTGAATGAGCTGCACTTTTATGACAGAACACCACTGATCCGAAGCCTCCACTCTACACTAGATTTGGTGTTCGGCCTCTGTGG